GGTTAATATTGAAATTTGAACCTATTATTGATATAAAGTTTTAAATCTTTGAGTTTCTTTTTTTCTCTTTTTTTTTTTTTTTTTTTTTTTTTTGAGTTGGATTGAATTATTAATAGAGATTGGACCTGTTGAGAAAATCTCTACCCAGGTATTATTAAATTACCCGGGTTATTCGAGTAATTTACTATATATCTCAGATAACCATATAGCAGCAATTTTTACCTGGGTCCAACTCTTAATTATTAATAAAAGAGGTATTGTAGAGGCAAAGATTGGACCCAGATAAAAATTGTTGTTGTATTGTTACCCGAGATATATAATAAATTAATCGGATAACCCGAGTAAAATTTTCTTAACAGGTCCATCTCTAAGTATAGATAATTTCAAGGGTTTATAGTATATATAATAGGAACAATTTTTAATATAAGCCATTTAATAACAATTAAAATTTATTATTGTATAAAGCTAATAAGCATTTCTTATTACAGACAAAGAATGCATTACATACAGAGTTTATCTCGCACATTTTTCTTCAAAATTGGGAGTATCGATTCAATACAAGAAATAATGCTTTTAACACAATCTCAATATGGAAAATCGATGAAGAAGCCAATGAAGAAGAGATTATAAAAGAGAATAGATGAATTATAAATAAATTGCAAGAAGATGCACCATGTTATCATACATAAGTGATACGAATAAACTATCTATGTACCTGTGATTTACTTCTCCCTAAAGCTAAGTCTTCATCACTTAGGACAATTTATCAAATGGTAACTGGTGACATCTCTGCAGCTGAGACTACTGATCAAACAAAAATCGATGAACGTATTAAAATTGCTTTAGACCTCGGAGATCCAGAAATTGTAGTTGATTTACGTAAGCACAATGGCGGAAGACCTAGTAAATATGAGATTTTCTGGAGAGTTGCAGCTAAGTTTCTTGAAGGAAAAGCAGCTAATGCTGTAACTGCAGTAGATGAACGCAGGCATGATCCAATCGTGCACCTTGCGACTGCAATATCAGTGAATAATCTTTTGTATCAAATTGAAAAGGAATGCCCAACTAGAACACCAATCCTAGCACACAATGGTTACGATTACAGTTTTGGCCTAAGAATCCAACACGGCTTAGTAGTTTACAATTTACTGGTTGTCTACCCTTAAAATTCATAGTTCAAACACGCCAGCTACGTGCTTACCATCAAGATACTCATTACGTATCTGCACTATATCGCTACAAGAAAGAATTTGCTGTAAAATTTCGAAAAATTACAAATTTTGTTTTTATGGATGATAAGCATCGTTGTAAAGTCGGAGAGCCTGAATTTCCTGTTGCTGCAGTTGAGAGAGGAAAAAAAGTTGTAGTTAGTAGAGAAACTACATTTGCAGTTGCTGACCATGACTATACTAAAACGGGTATCATACCAAGTATAACAATAATATGTAATATACCTGAATCAATTAATAGAGATTTCTATACTGGCAAAGTACGTATAGGATTAAAGGATCCAATATTTCAACCCTCCTCACCTCTCCGTCATGCACAGAATTATATAACATACTCCTCACAGAAAATCTAACTGATAAGCCTATACTATGTCTCTATACGGACGGTAGTCCAGATCATCATTGCACATATACTCGTATTCAATTATCCTATATTTGTCTTTTTCTCGCTTTAGATCTTGATTATTTTGTTGCTGTTCGAACTCCTCCACAACAT